CGAATGATTGCTGGAAGTCTGCTCCTGACGTGGCACTGGATCTGTCTTCATCCTCATGAGCTTCAGTGACAATCAATGGTTCATCAACTGTTGCCATTCTGATTGGTACAGGTGGACTAGTCGGTGGTGCAGCCGATTGTTCGAATGAAGACTGTTCAGCAATCTTCTCGATCCAAGCAATATGGTCAATCTCTTCCTGAGTCAGTTCCGGTTCTTTCGGTTCCATTACTGGTTCCTCAACTGGTTCAAGAAGTGGTGATGATCGTTCGTAAGTGACTTCATGATCGAATGATTGCTGGAAGTCTGCTCCTGACGTGGCACTGGATCTGTCTTCATCCTCATGAGCTTCAGTGACAATCACTGGTTCATCAAGTGCTGCCATTCTGATTGGTACAGGTGGACGTGTCGGTGGTGCAGTCATTTGTTCGAATGAAGACTGTTCAGCAATCTTCTCGATCCAAGCAATGAGGTCAATCTCTTCCTGAGTCAGTTCCGGTTCTTTCGGTTCCATTACTGGTTCCTCAACTGGTTCAAGAAGTGGTGATGATCGTTCGTAAGTGACTTCATGATCGAATGATTGCTGGAAGTCTGCTCCTGACGTGGCACTGGATCTGTCTTCATCCTCATGAGCTTCAGTGACGATGTTTGGTTCATCAACTGTTGGTATCCTGATTGGTACAGGTGGACGAGTCGGTGGTGCAGTCATTTGTTCGAATGAAGACTGTTGAGCAATCTTCTGGATCCAAGCAATGTGGTCAATATCTTCCTGGGGCAGTTGCGGTTCTTTCGGTTCCATTACTGGTTCCTCAACTGGTTCAAGAAGTGGTGATGATCGATCGTAAGTGACTTCATGATCGAATGATTGCTGGAAGTCTGCTCCTGACGTGGCACTGGATCTGTCTTCATCCTCATGAGCTTCAGTGACGATGTTTGGTTCATCAACTGTTGGTATCCTGATTGGTACAGGTGGACGTGTCGGTGGTGCAGTCATTTGTTCGAATGAAGACTGTTCAGCAATCTTCTCGATCCAAGCAATGTGGTCAATCTCTTCCTGGGTCAGTTCCGGTTCTTTCGGTTCCATTACTGGTTCCTCAACTGGTTCAAGAAGTGGTGATGATCGTTCGTAAGTGACTTCATGATCGAATGATTGCTGGAAGTCTGCTCCTGACGTGGCACTGGATCTGTCTTCATCCTCATGAGCTTCAGTGACAATCACTGGTTCATCAACTGTTGCCATTCTGATTGGTACAGGTGGACGTGTCGGTGGTGCAGTCATTTGTTCGAATGAAGACTGTTCAGCAATCTTCTCGATCCAAGCAATGAGGTCAATCTCTTCCTGAGTCAGTTCCGGTTCTTTCGGTTCCATTACTGGTTCCTCAACTGGTTCAAGAAGTGGTGATGATCGTTCGTAAGTGACTTCATGATCGAATGATTGCTGGAAGTCTGCTCCTGACGTGGCACTGGATCTGTCTTCATCCTCATGAGCTTCAGTGACGATGTTTGGTTCATCAACTGTTGGTATCCTGATTGGTACAGGTGGACGTGTCGGTGGTGCAGCCGATTGTTCGAATGAAGACTGTTCAGCAATCTTCTCGATCCAAGCAATGTGGTCAATCTCTTCCTGAGTCAGTTCCGGTTCTTTCGGTTCCATTACTGGTTCCTCAACTGGTTCAAGAAGTGGTGATGATCGTTCGTAAGTGACTTCATGATCGAATGATTGCTGGAAGTCTGCTCCTGACGTGGCACTGGATCTGTCTTCATCCTCATGAGCTTCAGTGACAATCACTGGTTCATCAACTGTTGCCATTCTGATTGGTACAGGTGGACTAGTCGGTGGTGCAGCCGATTGTTCGAATGAAGACTGTTCAGCAATCTTCTCGATCCAAGCAATGTGGTCAATCTCTTCCTGAGTCAGTTCCGGTTCTTTCGGTTCCATTACTGGTTCCTCAACTGGTTCAAGAAGTGGTGATGATCGTTCGTAAGTGACTTCATGATCGAATGATTGCTGGAAGTCTGCTCCTGACGTGGCACTGGATCTGTCTTCATCCTCATGAGCTTCAGTGACGATGTTTGGTTCATCAACTGTTGGTATCCTGATTGGTACAGGTGGACGTGTCGGTGGTGCAGTCATTTGTTCGAATGAAGACTGTTCAGCAATCTTCTCGATCCAAGCAATGTGGTCAATCTCTTCCTGGGTCAGTTCCGGTTCTTTCGGTTCCTTTACTGGTATCTCAACTGGTTCAAGAAGTGGTGATGATCGTTCGTTAGTGACTTCATGATCGAATAATTGCTGGAAGTCTGCTCCTGACGTGGCACTGGATCTGTCTTCATCCTCATGAGCTTCAGTGACGATGTTTGGTTCATCAACTGTTGGTATCCTGATTGGTACAGGTGGACGTGTCGATGGTGCAGGCATTTGTTCGAATGAAGACTGTTCAGCAATCTTCTCGATCCAAGCAATGTGGTCAATCTCTTCCTGAGTCAGTTCCGGTTCTTTCGGTTCAATTACTGGTTCTTCAACTACTTCAAGAAGTGGTGATAATCGTTCGTAAGTGACTTCATGATCAAATGATTTCTGGAAGTCTGCTCCTGACGTGGCACTGGATCTGTCTTCATCTTCATGAGGTTCAGAGACTGGTTCATCTAATGTGGCCATTTTGATTGGTACAGGTGGACGAGTCGGTGGTGCAGTCGTTTGTTCAGCAATCTTTTGGATCCAACCAATGTGATCAATCTCTTCCTGGGTCAGCTCCGGTTTCTTTGGTTCTTTCGGTTCCATTACTGGTGCCTCAACTGCTTCAATAACTTCATGATAGAACGATCGTTGGATGGCAGGTGACTTTGAGGCTATCTTCAAACGTGTTTCTTGTAACACCTTCTCTATTGTCTCCGCCACTATTTGTTCAGCAATCCTTTCTGTTTCCTGGGTAATTTTGTCTACCGAGTGTTTCGGAGTATTTATATTTTTGTTTTGCATTTCGTCTGTCGTTTCCGTAAATTGTGGCTCACTAACTCGATCAATCATCGTCTGAATGTATTGTTCCACATTCAGAAGCATTTTTGGTTCCGATCTGTCTTCGTGAAGAATCATACTGCCGGAGCTGCTTTCTGTTCTTGCCTCTTCATCATGGTCGTGTTCTTCGGTTATCCTTCCCAATGGTCCAGGTATCCAAATGTAATGTTCATCAACTTCAGGCATGCAGTATGAAGCTTCTTCCGTCTGTTGGTCGTTACTTTGCTCAGGTGTAGATCTATCAGAGTTTTCTGAGATATATTCACCGGAACTTCGTCGATAATGTATTTCATCTTGTTTTTTTTTATACGAGTCGAATGACTTCAGTTCGAATAGTTCTTCAACGTGAACGTTTGGAGATTCGTGTGACATTTCTGATTCGTACGAATTCTGGGAACGGAATTCACGAGAAGAAGATGATGATGGGTTATCCGATGACGATTCAAGGACTTCATACATATAAGGAGACGACTTTCTACTAGATTCGCGATCTGGAAGAATGAAAGTTTTATTGAATGAAAGACAAAATAACTAACTCACCTTCAATATCTTCTTCCATTGTACTCAAGAATTGATCCAATTGTTGGGCACTTTCAAATGACCTAGATTTGTGAATCAAAGATATTCCTTGCAAAACTTGTTCACATCTGCAAAACGGAATTTTTATGATAAATATAAATATTTTTCAAATCTTACTCTTCTGATTTAGATAACGTCTTTGAAACCATAGTGAAGAATGCAGATTGCAAAGCTTCTTCAGCAATCCTTCCACAGTATTCATTCAAAGTTTCTCGAACTTTTTCATCGATTATTTGATGTGTGATTTCCTCAAAAGCCAGGCAAAATATTGATTCGCAAAATTGAGTGCACATCAAATGAAACTGTGGATTCGATGATAACAAATAATGTGAGTATTCAATATGAGATGATATTATGATAGCCTGAAATTATCAGTTTTTCATTCAGCACCTGGTGTTTTGTATTACTTGGCTCAAAGCATCAATATATTGCATTGTGAGATCCCCGAGTGTTTCTGATTTCTCAGGCTTACTCGTAAAAACGAAAGTGTATTCACCGTCGTAATCAAGTGAATTGAACCATGTTGTTAAATGAGATTTCATCTTTTGGAATCGGTTTCGAAGATTTGCAGTAGTTGCTGGAATAAATAAGAGAATTTATGAAAAAAATTACTTTAAAAAATGTTACCTTCTGTGATGGATGGACGTTTCTCATGTAGTTGTCTGACGCTATTCGGGCTTCTCGGACTTCGTGGACTTCGTGGACTCCTTGGAACTTCGTTTGCCAATTCTCTTTGAGATGCCGCTCGTTCTTCCATCTCATTTGTTACCATATCTAATGTTCAACTTTTTTTTCGAATGAATCAAAGGAAATACTCACTTTCTGGTATGGAGTCCATTTGCACTAACGAGTACCGATGATCAATTTCTTGTGATCCTTCAACAGATTCTCTCTGCCTATATCTCGACCTCATCATCTCTGCATCCACAACTATTTTTGCTTCTTTTCTAGAATTTTCTGCCCGTCTGAGAACATCTTGAATCAGATGCTGCTGCTCAGGAGACAACCGGTTCATTGCGTCCGCCAATTCTTCTTCGGCGGTTTTCTGAAGAAATGGTTAGGAATGAGAGGTTTAGCTATTTGGATATTGCAGGGCATCGAAAATAGAAAACAACGGAGTGTTCGAAAAAAAAACTAACAGGCACAGAATGTTCAGGCACTTGAGTTTCGTCTTCTTCGGATTCCTCCTTCACCTCTTCAAGAGGAGGTCCTTTGCTGAATCTGCAAATGGAATTCAATGACTTGGTTACGAAATTTAGAATTTTTCTTACCCGAAATAAGAAAACCACGAAGACATTCTGGTGTCGTGAGAAAATCAATAAATTAATAGATGACTATAATTACCATCCAGTTTTCATTACAAGTCTGTAAAAAGATGGCTTTAGCAAAAAATATGTCACATTCAGACAAATAAGTAATCAAAGGAAAAAAAGGGATTAGCGAATGAGAATGATATCAAAGTGCTCAGAGAAAAAAAATGAAAAAACGGGGGAAGAAGACAAGAAACAGGAGACGGAATGTAGAGGATTCGCATGAATAATTGAATAAGTTGGGTGTCGTGGTGTTGGAAGAAGAGTAGAGGGAAATGGAGAAAAAGGAAGAATGGGAGGAAAAAACAACAGAAAAAGGAAACATTTGAAAGGATTAGAATACTCACTGAACACTGATGCTTTTTTTTCTGGCTAAAAGAGTAAAGTTCAAAGTTTTCTGGTTTGGAACGCAGTCAAGTTTGAGCTCAACTATCTCAATTCCTATCTAATATATCAAAAAAGTGTCAAATAACAAAACACTCCTGACATCATGAGGAACAATTAATCAGTTGAAAATTTTTGATATCTTTGAAAGAAACCGAGAAAATTGAATCAAAGTTAGACGTTAGGAGGTTCTTCTTTTGCAAGTCCTACGGTAGCTGTATCAATACACTTTCTTTTTGAAAAGACATTGAAGAGTTGATTAATCAATCTTAGATCAGAAATCATTGAAAAACATTTTTTAAAATGAAGCTCCTCACAAAGTCAGCATGATAAAAGTAGCCTTATCTACTCATGTCTTAATTTTCTGTCTTCAAAAAAGATTTCGGATTGGAAATTATCTAATTATTCGGTTGCAACTCAAAAGGCATTTTCACTTCAATATTCCTTTGAAATCGCATCGTTTTTCAATTAAAGAAATTTATAAAAATAAAAATACCGTAAAACCTGTAATAGAAGAACCCTCTAACTTTTAACTTTAGGCTTATTTTTCTCGGTTTCTGTCAGACATATAGTAAAGTTAACTGATAAATTGCTTATCATAATATCACAAACTTTTTTTTTTGTTGACAAACTTTTGATATTTTGCATAGGAACCAAGAAAAAATAGCTCAAGATCAAATAAATAGAGATTACAGACAAAGTACAAATAAAATTGGCGTTACAAAAATGATATTGATAAAAATACAAAAGTGGATGCCAAGCTACGAAAATTGAGAAGGCGTTTTCATAACTTTCACTTTAATTTGGTAGAAAAAATGAATAGGTAGATCAGTGATTCAAATACAATGAGCACTTAATCAAAAAATATAACTTTTGGAAGAGTACGGTCTCCCAGAGAGTTTAGGATTGTCAAAAAACTGAATCGGCTAAAATTTGTAAGTGTAGCATCAGAAAAACCTCTTAGACTTTTCAGCCTTTTGTTTTTAGTACGAAAAAGAATAAATGTTTTAAGATTCAATGAATACAAAAATAAGAGAGCGGATGGATGGCCGTAGACAAAAATCAGAAAAAATAGAATACCAGATATCTTTAGTTCAGATAAAATTTGGCAAACATCTAAAATACAAATTTCAAAACTATATGACTTTGATAAGCTGAAACTTTGCAGAATTTTCTTCGAAATTGAGAACTAACATAAGATGCCCAAGGAAATAAAGGAAACCAATCAGTTAATGGAACTTTGAGAAAACGGAAATTTGAAATTGGACCATTACAAAAAAAGAGTGGAGAGAACCTTTAGAAGCCCATTTTATTTGCACTTTTTTCCTCAAAAAAAAAGAGTTGAACGGACAAAAAGAGGTTCTGCACAGAAAAGAGAAAATGGAGAGAGCGGATATGATTTTTGAAGGGCATCACATAAAAAGAAACGGAAAGAAAGAGTTGGAGAAAATGAGATAGAGAGCATGTAATCGAATATTAGTATTTGGTGAATAACGAGAAGAAAAAAGAGGGTTGGATGGAGTAAATGAAAGAGAAAGAAAAAGAACAAGAAAGAAAGTTTCACGAAAATAGGTAATTTTCATTTAGAATAAAAATAGGACATTTAAAGTAAAAATAAACATGAGAATATTAGTAGTTTAGAATAAAAAGAGTACAAATAATTTTTTTTAAAAGTTCTTAATTACTCGGCTTGGAAAAAAAATTAAAATCAAAAAAATGAGAAGAAATCGAACTGAAAATTATAAAACCTGAAAAAGAAGCAAGCTGTTAATTTGTTGATGAACTTTCTGACTTCTTATGGTTCATTGACGAAGACATTTATCATGTTAAAAAAATATTTTGGCATTTGATTACGTTTCTATATTTCTGAAGCAAACCGGGATGAATTCGTTTAAAGTTGATGGTTAGGGGTCCTTATTTTTTTGGGTTTTGAGATAAACTATTTTCAACACAAAATTAAAGTTCAGGACTTTTTATGAATCAATGTATTTGCATAAACAGTTTGTTAAAGACAACTTTGAAAATAGAAGACAGAAGAAAAAGGAAAAAGGGAAAGTGGGAAGAAAAAAAACGTAAGATAATAAAAAATGCTCATACAAATCGAAAATGCACATACGAATACTACATCTGAGCAGAGTCATAGTTTGACATGTCGGAACACAAACACCATAACTAAAAATAAAAATAGTGTGGTGCAGCAGCAAAAAAGAAGAAGAAGAAGAAGAAGCACAAAAGGTAGAAGTCGTCGCCGCCCCGTTTTTCGTTGTCCTCGCTGCCAAAAAGAGCTAGTCTAGGAGCACGCAGACGCTGTGAAACGAAAGACTAGTTTGGTGGGTGGAGTACGCAGAGCAACGAATTCAGATGAGGCGCCCACTGCAGACGCAGAATCGATACGCAGCAACGTCGTCGCCACCACCACCACCACCACAGCTCCCTCACCACTTTTCTATCCCGGTGCTTCTTCTTCTTCTTTTTCTTCTTGTTTCGAATTCAATGCTAGTTGTATTGGTGGCAGTTTTGATGGTGGTTGTGTTGGTGGTAGTGATGAGCTAGTAGCCATAATGGAAGAGGTCGCTTTCCAAGAAAAAGAAGAAGAAGGACAACGAGGGGAGCCATGTGCTGTGATGGACATTCAAATTAGGTTTTGACTCGTAAGAATTATCTGATTGACATTATTTCCGTCTGATTCCTTTATTTTTCTTGAAGTTTTCATATTTAAAATACTTTCGACTTTGCAAAAAACTTCTCCTTGCGACTTCTTCTTTTAGAAACCGAACGTTCTGGATGTTCCTATAAGATCAGGTCACAATGCCAATTTCTGTTGAGTGGAGCTTTTGACGAGTTATAACTCAAGGTTCGCCAAGTTACAGGGTTTTGTGCAGATTCGAAGTCACCATGGAAGCTTATGCTTGTAAAAGAATCGAAGAGGAAGCCTTGTGGGCGTTGTTTTGAAGGGAACCTCTAAAACGACCCAAAATAGAGACATAAAACCTGAAAAGATAAAGACGACAAAAACACCGTTGTACAAGACATACCGAATTTATTCACCTTTTTCTTTGCCTACACTCTGGTTCTTTATTAGAACCTTCTCTGCCAAGCAAATACAATAATTTGTGAGGGAAAAAATAGCATCAACACAGTACGAAAAAGGAAACAACAAGAAGCCTAATTTTGCAGAAGAAATTGATCCCCAAACCGGGCGCGTCCTTGGTCGTGTCGAGAGTTAGATGTGCAGGTTACAGTAGTCCTCAAATTGGCGGTGATTCAAATATGGCGTCGTGGGTGGTGTAGGCAAGAAGACGAATGCGGCTGACTCAAACATAGAAAACAAGGATAATGATATGGGATGTATTTAATAAGAGAAAAGTCGTGAATAAGTGATAGTCAATCACTTGAATTCGCGACACTGCCAGGGCCCGACTCTTTTCCCTCTCTGGTATTCGGAGTACCCGTGGTCTGACTGCGTGTTCTCGTTGGTTCCCTTGATTCCTTGTTTTCGTTCTTTCTCTGGAGGACTGGAGCTAGTGTTTTTGCCACATCACAATCATGATACGTGACTCCTTGTTTGGCCTTTCTGTCTAGTCTCTTTCTTATTATGTCCTGAATGTGATCCTCAACTTGTGTTCCACTTTAAATCTTCTGAAGATCATCAAGTGGTTCTGGTTCAGTGGTGTTTTCTTCCTTGTGCTCTGCCTTTTCCAAAGCGGTAGATTCTTCCTCTAATTCCAATGGAATCAATTGGTTCACGGATCTCAAGACTTCCATGCCTCCATATTTGATAGTGACAGTTCTGATTTGGCCTTGAGCATTCGGATGAATCTCAGTGATTTTAGCCATCTGCTATTTGTGTCTACATCTTAGTCTTTCTTCTATTAGCACTACTTGTCCAACCTTCGGTATGGTGTTCGTGTAATGTTTTTTCTTTGCTTTTGCTTCTTTCAATTGGGTTAGATACATTGTCTCCCATTGCAGCCATAGATGGTTCATGTGTTTGTTCAGATTAGACAAATGTAACCTTGTCTCCTTCTCTGTTGTTCCCATCTTTTCTTCTATTTCCTGGTTACCCGGATCATGTAAGATTTCCAGCTTCACTTCTGGATTGATGAAATCAACTGGTCGTATCACTTCTCCCTCGTTGGGACCTTCTGGATTGTGGCTGATAGGTCTGGAATTGACAATGCCTTCGATTTCTGTGATGATGGTAAAGAGTTGGACGTAATTAAAATGGGCAGTATCTCCTGAAGCATACAGTAGTTTCTTCACAATGCCAATAATCCTTTCATATACTCCTCCTTTCCAAGGGCTCAGTGGCGTGATGAAGTTCCATTCTATTGGATGTTGGTCCAAAAAGTTGGTGAAAGCGTCACCTTCCTCTGCCCACTTTTTTATATCATTATTAAACATTTGGCTTCCTAGAACAAAACTCTTGGCATTATCCAACACTACTGTTCTAGGGGTCCCTCTTCTGGCAAAATATCGTCTCATGGCTAATATAAATTCGCTAGTTCCATTGTCGGAGATAAGTTCCAAATGTACGTTCCTTGTTATCAAACATGTGCAAATTAGTACCCAACATTTCCTTTCTCCAGTCAAGCCCTTATACATTAGTGGACCGAACCCATCGAGTCCCACGTTTTGGAATGGCCCTGACCTTCTTACTCTGGTCGATGGTATTGGTGGGATGTCGGGGTATTTGAATGGTCTACCTCTCAGTTTTCTGCAAGTGACACAAGAATGTACAATCTTTCTGGCTAGCTGTCTTCCTTGAGGAATCCAATATTGCCTTCTGCATTCTGCCAACAAATGTTCCGTTCCAATGTGTCTGTTGTACACATGGGTTTGCCGCACGATCATCTCTGTCAACTTGTGGTCGCGTACCAGAATAATTGGATACTTTGCGTCTTCTGCCAGCTCTGACTTCTCCAACCTGGTTCCTTTTCTGATCAATCCAAATTGGTCTTGTTTCGGGCCAACGGTCCTCGTAACGAAAACTACCGTAACCTAAAATTTTCGGTCCTTTTCTTCTAGATTACTGTTGCTTATCGACAACTTTGTGTTGAAAACTGAGACGGAAAATTAATTTATCTCAAAAATGAAGTACTGAAATAATCTGTCAGGACATATCTTCATAGATTTTTATCCACATTAATTCGATTGTTTCCCAACTAATCTCTACGAGTCATTTCCATTGTAGTTATTTACGGCAGAACCCTAGTTTCTGAAGATCGTAAATCTGTCGTCTTCCAAATTTCCCATAGGTATTACAATTCGGTTCACAAAAGCCATTCATTTTATTGGGATTCTCTGTTTTTTGATTGATTACCCCTCTTTCCGTTCCGTTCCATTTGCGATTCTGCCGCTCTGTGACTCCGGCTTAATTGAGCGTCTGTGTTCGCAATAGTAGTCTTGAGCAAAAAAAAGACATCCAAAAAGCCAAAAATTCAAAACAAGGATTCTGACTGGGGAGATGAGAGACATATCTTGCGCATTTTATCTTGTGAGAAACCGGATACTGTTGAGGCTTTGGTATCATGTTTCGAGTTAAAAGTGTGATTTCTAGTTAACAATTCTATTCAATTCGAGTCAGAACTTTTAAAAAATAAAAAGGAAAAAAACAGACAACAAAAAAACAGACTGAACAACAACAAGGGGGAACATTCCTATAAAAAATGATATTGGAGAAAGGATAACAATAAAGAAGAAATTCTGTGTTTAATAGGTATTCTGCCGTTTTCCAACGTTAAGATTGCCAGGAAGCTTTTTGAGACCTTTTGTGACAAGTGCATTTGGTCGTCGAGTAACTTCTTTTCGTTCAGCAACGTGAGCTTCTTGCTTGCTTTTTGCAGCCTGTGCACGAAGATCCTTATCACGCTTCGAAATGGTGAATGACATTTCACGACCACCGAAGGGAACATCGTCTTCGTTGACCTAGAAAAGGAAATTGATAGAAAACCGTTACTGAGAGAGATGATCAAATACCTTCTTTGTCTTTCTGTCTTGTTTTGCAGATGCTGTTTTACGGGCGCCAAGGGCCATTAAAGTCTGAATTTTTATTATTAGATGTCTTTTATTATAGATGTCGCAGACTGGGATTAAGTAAATTTTACCGGCTCGTTCTGCGTTTTGATCAATATTTCTTATTCTTACCTCGCTTGATCCAACAGTGTTAGCAGCGACCGTTTCATCTACAAACTTTCTAGTTGTTTCTCCTGATCCGATTGAGTGAAGAACAAATTTCGATGGCTTGGATGTCAGTCTCTGTTCTCTGAAAATTAAAAACTTTTAATTCGTCGAAATCTTTTTTTGATCGCACTTTCTCAATTTCTTAGCTTCCTTTCTTTCGTCATATTTCTGAGACTTCTGTACATTTCTTTCCACTTTTTTGGCCGCGCGAATTTTCGCTCTTTTCTTTTTCAATGACTCATCAACGTCTTCATCACTAGAGACGCTTTCCAAATCTGAAGCCATATCGGTGCCACGATGATCTTCTTCCATCCATGCTGCAGTGTTATCTTGATCGTCATCGCTTCCACTTGCTGCTTCATCAGAATCACCTTCGCTCTCTTCTTCAGATTGGTCTTCCCCTTCTGAATCCACTTCAACAGGACCCTTCGCTGCCAACTTTTGTGCAATTGAGGCATTCTTCAAAAACTGCTCACTAGTTTCGTCCACTTCGAAATCTTCAGATTCGAATAGTTTCTTGAAACGATCATCAGCCAAGAGAGAAGATGCTGCATCTGATTTTTTACTCTTTTTCTTCTCCTTCTTGGTCTCGGCTGTCTTGTTGGCAGCGGCAGCTTCATCACGAAGTCTTGCAGCAAGACTCTTATTCACTGATGGTAGTTTTTCAACCTTCTTCTTTACTGCTGATTCTTCACGTTCATCAGCAATCAACGACTTGATCTTCTGTTCTTTGTACTTTTCATAAGCAAATGGTTGCATCTGCGTTTGTGCCTTGTTGTATAGACGAGCATCGATGAAGTATCCATGCATATAGGCTCGTAGCACATTTGTTCCAATCAATCCAGACAAACCAAGATCGTCCAGTTGTTTCTTGGTAACAAATCGATAATTATCGTACACGGGAGCTTCCGTTTCTTCCATTTCTTCTGTGAGATTCTCCAGATAAGAACACCATTTCGGAGCTGGTCCCAACTGTGGGATGAAGTATTGCAACATCTTAGGTGCCTCGTTGGCAAAGAAGAACATTCCAGAATTGTGGAATCGGCAAAAATCATTCAACGGACATGTGTTTTCAATAGCGGCCAACGGAGAACCGTCTTCTTCAAACCACATCTTCATCATTCGTGAATCCATCGAAGCAACAACGTCTCCATCATCTCGTTTAATGAATTCTATTTTTTTGATTGGCAATTCGTTGTTGTGATCTTTAATTAGAAGAGGCCGTCGCGCACGCAGATCATATGTGACGATTTGGCCAGAACTTGTACCAACACCGATGTGTAGAGGGTCGGAAAACGCTAATGACGTAACAGCAATAACTGAATTCTCCCTGAACAAACTAAAATTGTAAAACTCGTATATCATTCAACCTACCCAGTGTGACTGTTAACAGATGATCCGACATCGAGAGTCCCACAGAGTGATCTATCTCTGTGATCCCAAGCTTCAACAACGCCATTTGTTGTTCCACATACAACCAATTGGTGATCTGTACACACTTGCACACAGTTCAATGGAGCCGTGGACTCGAAAGAAGTCAACCAGCAGCCTTGTTCGAGGTTGAATCGGTATACTTCGCTCCTAAAATTTGAGTATAGTCTTCTGATAAGTTTATTTTGAAAATTACTTTGTTCCAACTAGGTAGAGATCACTGGACTCTTCAGAAAGCGCCATATCTCTTCCTTGGCAAGGCATTCGCATACGGAAATATCTGCCGAGCATTGCATGCATTTCAATCCATCGCTCTTCTTCTAGTACCACAATCTGCAAACAAATAAGGGGTGTCAGATGGTTACCATAGTGACCAGCGAACCTTCGAGTAATCGTCGCTTAGAGGAATGAGTTTTACTACATCAGCATCTAGGCCTCTTTCAAATTTCAACGACAGATTGTTCAAATCATAACATCTCAGCCATGGTTTGTAGTTTCCTGCAAAATTAGTATTTCATTGATCGCAATGTTTCGCAGCTGTTGAAAAAGTTCAATTTCCATTATGCGAATGCAACTTCTTTGTTGAATTCTACTTACCAGATGCCCACACATATTTCCCGTCCGGTGTGATATTCACTGTATTACTGACATCAGGCATTTCGAAGTCTTGAATGAGTTGGATCCTCTGACGCACATCGGTATTCCTTTGTTCCAACTTTCTCCTCGCTCGAGACGACATCCACTGAAACAGATTTTTGAGAGTAGTAACTATGAGTTTTTTGTTCATTTCATACCTCAGGTAGACTTTTACCGGCACTCAAGTTATAGATTTTGACATCATTCACCGTTGAGACTTCCATTGGACTATCTGGAAATGGGCTGTTAAACATATCAGTTTAAAAGGGG